GACTCAACCGTTCTCCCGGCGGTCTGTTACGCAGCTGAGATTTGAACCGACACCGTAGCCATCGGAAGCTCTACGGACCACCCACAAAGCGCTCGAGTGCAGTCTTCTGAAGCGACACACAAGATCTCGTCGGACTTCGCAGTACGATTTGAGAAGAATGTCCCGTCTTCGTGACCCAGCGGAATACATGGACTTCGCAGTACGGATATGAGAAGATTGTCCCGTCTTTCGCAGTACGGATATGAGAAGATTGTCCCGTCTTCGTGACTTGCGGAATACGTCGCGAAAGCAAAGCACCGATGGGCCGGTCGCAGATATGAGAAAATTGTCCCGTCTTCGTGACCCAGCGGAATACGCCCGACACAAACAACATACAGTAGGACTTCGCAGTACGGATATCAAAAGAATCCCGTGTTCGTGACCCAGCGGAATACGTTGCGAAAGCCAAGCATCGATTGACCACGGAATTGAGAAGAATGTCCCGTCCGTGACCTAGCGGAACACATTGAGCGAAGCATCGATGGGCCGGTCACATAATGAGAAGAACAAACGCGAAACATCGATGGGTCGGTCACATTATGAGAAGAACAGATGGATGGACACTGAGAACATCGGAGTGGATTCCTCGCAAAGCGAAACTTTCCCGAGGAAGACCTCCATTGAGATGGGCAAACGTGTTCGTGGAACGGATGGACCAACTGAGAAATGCTGGATACGAGAATTGCCCCTGGAACTCGTGGACGCAACCACCGACGACAGCCAAGAAGATCTTGGATGTCTGAAGCGAGGGACCGGACCAATTGGAAACTTCTTTACTGGGGCCCGCACGTCACGTGAGGAAGGGTCATCTAAATATCTAAGTAAGTAAGTCAAGTTGGATCGATGTAAAGTTTAGACGCAATCTGCTAAGCCCCCGCAACGCATCTTTTGAATTTCTTCTAAAATCATGACAAATTATGGAGGAGTTAGATCAGCACAAGCATTGCTCAGCTGGAAAGAGTAGGCAGTAGAACTTATATCAAGAACTGCTCCTGTTTTTATTGCAAACTTTCAAATTTTTTACCATCGAACTCAGAGAAATTGAAATTTATGCAGTTTTTCTGCTATAATCTGTGCATGCCTTGCAAAAGATTGCTATAAAAAGCATGGTCTATTCTGTATTCTTTCAAACAAAAGAAAAAGGTTGGAAAACCAAGTACTTATGAATTTATCAGAATGGTGCGAAGGTACTTTCGGTTTATGATTTTGGTTTTATATCTTTCTCAAAATTTAGATTAATTTGAAATAGATTTTTTGTGAAATAACTAAAGCAACAAGCTCAAAATCATCACTGTTTATTTCTCTAA